CCCGCCCCCGCCCCCGCCCCCCGCCTGTCCCCGCCATCCCCATAACCCAGGGCCCGAGGGCCCTCGCTAACCGGCGAGGCGGCGCCCCTCGGCCTTTGATCTGGCGCTGGGCCTGTGCCACATCCTGGCCCGCTTTCTGCAGGTACATGGACGGGAAGTAGCCGGTGACATCCTCCTTCCTGCAAGACAGCTGCTTTGAGCGCCGTGGGGTGTGGGCCTCAGTTTCCCCTATGCCCCAGCCTTTTTTGTGCCATATAGATATCCAGGTGTTCCAACACCATTGTTGAAAAGATTTTCCTTTCCATGCTCGACAGTATATTTGGGAGCAAAAAGAAAATCTTTGCATAACACCAACACTACAAGGTAAAAAAGCAAAAACCAAACCCCTGCTCTGCTGGTGGGTGCTTTCCACGTGCCTGCTGAGGTTAACAAGTGCGGGGCCAGCCTGGAGTGGGAGGCCCCTGACAGCTCGGGAGGCTGTCTTCCCCCAGGCCAGAAAGAAAAAAAAGAAGAAAGAAATTAACCAGTGGTCCACCCTCATTTGGAGGGAAGAAAGGAAACGCAAGGTACATTTTCAAAGGAAAGGGGGGACTAAGGGTCTGTGGGCCCAGTCATCACGGGCAACAAATCCCACAGCTGGCTGTTCCCCTGGAGGAGGATAGCAGCACCAGCTAGGAAGGGACCCGAGTCCCAGGGGCAAGGGGTCCCCTTGGAGCAGGACACCAGCCCCACAGGGCAGGCGCACTGGGCTCCTGCGTCCCAGCTTGGGCTGGCGCGGGCTGGGGGTCCTACCTGACCACCCACCAACCGTCCAGGAGCTTATGGATGACCTCGATGGCCTCCCCCTCGGACAGGGTCACCTCGTCCTCCTCCACAGCGGTGTAGGCTTTGATGGTGACGTAGGGCTCGCCTGGCAGACAGCGGGGCTCAGGCTGGGCGTGGGGCATCCGGCTTCGTCCAGCTGCGCAGGCGCACGGATCCCCGCCACGACTCTGCCACCCAGCCCTCTGCCGCCCAGCCCGGGGCATCTGCCCACTGCACCCGCACCCTGAGCCTGCCCCGCCCCCACCGCCCCTGGAGCCGGACCAGAGCTCTCTAACTTCAGGGGCCCGGCCGGGTACCCGAAGAGACCTTCGTGGGAGACTCTGGTCATGGAGCTCAGGGCCTCTTAACTGCAGCTAAGTCCCGGTGTGGCTTTTCCCAGTTTTTCCACAGGAGCCATAAATCATCCACTAAAGGGTAAAACCCCCCTTTCCTTTTTATTTGTTGTTGTTGTTACTGGGGATGGAACCCAAGGCTTTTGCTTTGAGCTGCATTCCCAGCCCTTTCTTATTTTTTATTTTAAGACAGGCTCTCACTGGTCACTAAATTGCTAGGCTCAAACTTGTAATCCTCCTGCCTCAGCCTCCCAGAGTGCTGGGATCACAAGTGGGTGCCACCACACTGGTGCAATCTCTCAATTTAAAAAATGGCCAACAGAGCCTGACTTTGAACTCAGTGTAAGCCCCATGCATCAGCCCCAGGGCCACCAGAGTCCCCCTTCTGGGCAGTGGTGATGCTCCACCTCCAGGCAGCCTCGGCTGCCACCACTGTCACCTCCCCCTCTGTCACCTCCTGGTTCCCTGTCCTCACCAAAGACATCACGACCTACCAGGGTCCCCAAGTCAGAGATAACGAGGCTTCAGCCACCCCTATGTAGCCACTGCCGTCGCTTTGACACAGTTCCCTCCTGCCCCTTCCTTTCTCACCCCTGGGCTCTGGAAGGCTGGGTACCTGCATAGTTGGGCGCTGGGTCCTCAGCCTCGTCAGGACTGTCCAAGGGCTCCAAGAAGGATGCCGGGACCCAGCCACGCTTTGCCTTCATTTGGCAGAACCACCAGCCTGTACCAGGGTGGAAGAGGTAAATGAGAGGGGTGGAGCCTGGCAGCCTCCCTCACCATGAGGGTGCTGAGGACACACAGAGACACACGGAAGATACACAGACATTCAGCCTTAAATTCATCAGCTTCACCTTCTCTGAGCTCAACATGGAAATCCCACGCCCCCACTCACAGCTCACAGGGGCAGCGCGGAGTCCCCTCCCCCACGAGCAGACCCAGAGCGCACAGCCAGACCGGCAGAGGGACCACACCCCCGCTCAGGGTCCCCAGCCCCAGGGGAACCAGGCCCCTGGCAGGGTGCAAGACTGACCACTCTCGCTCTTCTCCACGACGTCCACCACGTCGCCCATGGCCAGAACCATCTCCGAGCCTGAGGTCTTCTGGTAGTCGGCGATGGCACGGTAGCTCTGCAGGATGATGGGGCCTGTGATGTCTGAGAGGTGGGGAGGTGGGTAAGCGGCCCAGAAATCCACATCAGGCGAGCCCGGTCCTGCTCCTGCAGCCCCGGTCACTGAGCACCCAGCTCTTCCCCAACAGTGACATCTCCTGAGGAACCCAGTCCTCAGCTGCCAAGGTCAGTGGTCCCAGTGGGGTAGGAGGGTCCTCCAGGGTTCAACAGAGCCAGCTTTGCGAGATTTCCAGGGATCCGGGAGGACAGCAAATCTGAGCCCAGCCTGGGCAACTTAATGATTTCCATCTCACCTCAAAGTAAAAAATTTTAAAAAGGGCTGGGCCCCAGCTCAGTGCGAAGGGCCTGGGTTCTGTCCCCAATACTTCAAGGAGAAGGGAGGGACGGGAAGGGAGAGCAGAGGTCACCAGGCACACAGACAGGCACAGGGAAGGGAGAGGCCCTGCCCACGCAGAGCCTGAGAATTCATCTCCTCGCCTGTGTCAGGGGCCTGGGGCACCGTGTCCCACCCGTCAGCGCTCTTGGTCACACCTCTTTTCCCTGTGGTGCCAGGGATGGTACCCAGGGCCTCACTCGGGTCACCAGAAGACTAGCTGGGCCCCCGGGGATCGGGCTTCATCCTGCTATGGAACTTGGTGCCCGAGAGCCCGGGGCAGAGTCTTGCTTTCTTTCCGGCGCTCCCTGCTGTGGACCTGGGGGCAGCAGGGTGCCTGCTCTCTATTCCCATACATGTGATCAGGTGGTAACAAGTGCTTTCTGTGAGATGGGCTCACCTTATGCTGCCTGGGTGGGGCCCAGACTCCTGGGCTCAGGCCTTCTGCTTCAGCCTCTGGGACTATAGCCAGTGCCCAGCTTTATGCACTAATACTTTCTATTTTCAGTACTGGGGGTTGAACCCAAGGCCTTCACACTGAGCTACTTTCCTCAGTCCTTTTTATTATTACTATTATTTTAAATTTTGAGACAGGGTCTTACTAGGCCTCCTAGGGTGGGCTCAAACTTGTGATCCTCCTGCCTCAGCCTCCCAGCCTGCTGGGATTACAGGCATGTGCCACCACATCCCACTTAGAATCAATACATTCTAAAAAGTGCATGCCACGGAATAAGTGTTGGGTGAATGTTAGGGATTACTGTTAACAAGTGCCACGTAATCCCCATTAGAAACCTGGCCTGGGTCACCTTGGGAAGCCACCTCGGCTCCCTAACCCTTCCCAGCCTCTTTGCAACAAAGCCCTCCACCCCGGTCTGTGCTGGCCACTGCAGCACAGGGGCGAGGAGGTGGGGCCACCAGCAAGGGGACCCCGGGCTCTCCAGGGGTACCCCCTGCCCCTACTCTCCCAGTCCCCATGGTGCCCTGGGCCCTCGCCCTGCCCTCACCCGCGGCGTTGCTCTTGCCGTTCTTGCCATCCTTGGGTATCAGGTAGGTCTCAGGCTTCCTCACCCTGCGGAGCGGAGAACCCAGGTCTGTGCTGAGCTCACTCCCCACGTAGGGGCGGCCCAGGCAGACCTGGAGGAGGACTTTCCAGAGTCAGGGAACAGGGAAATGGGGCAGGGCTCAGGAATGAGGGGGCACCAGGCCACCCCAGGAGGGGGTAGAGGGCACAGGCCCGGCCTCCCACAGACCCTGGATGCCAGGGGAACGTTCAAGGTCATGGGAGCCGGGTGACCAGAGGGGTGAGGAGCCCCGCACCCAGAGGCGCCCTGGAGAGACACCCTGATGTGCCCCCAATGACACAATCCTGGAGCTCTGCCTCTGCTGTTCCCTTCCCCCATTAAAGTCCAGGAACCTCAGTCAGAGCTTGGAAGGGGCCCGGTGCAGGGCGCCCAGCTGTAATCCCAGCTTTCTGGGAGGCTGAGGCAGGAGCCTGAGAAACTCAGTGACTTGGTGAGATCCTGTCTAAAAATAAAAAAATAAAAAGAGGTGTGGATATAGCCTAATGTAAAGGCGCTGGGTTCAATTCCCAGCAAGAGGGTAAGAGGGTGGTCTCTAGGCCCACGGCCAGGAGGTCACACGGTCAGGTAGAAGACCAAGGACTGTGGTCCCCAGCCAGGGCACATCCCTCAGCACTGTGCGGCTGGGCATTAGGCTGGGGCTCGGCATGAGCCCTGCCCCCCGTCTTCCTTTCCTTTCGCTGCACGACGCTGAGCCCTCGCCTGGCCTCTCTGGGTCGCAGGCTCCTTTTCGCTGCCCGCCCCATTCCCGCCCCTCCCGGCCGGGAGAGTCCACGCCACTCACGGGCTGTCGCCGGGCAGCTGCAGATCGTCGGGCCGCACCTTGAAGAAACCCAGCACGTGCGGGCCGCGGGAGATCTTGGGGGGCAGCGCCATGAGCGCGGCACAGTACTCGGACAGCGTCCCCTGGCGGCTCTCGGCGGTGCGCTGCCCGTCGAACCAGCGCGGAGCTGGGGCGGTAGGGTAGGACGAGAAGAGGAGGTGAGGGGACCCGGAGAGGTGAGGGGAACGGGGGTGGGGCAGTGGGAGACCTTAGGGGAGAGGGAGGACCGGGGAGGCTGGGGTACACTGTGAGGCGAGATGGGCCTGGGCCCGGCCTCACCGGGGAGGTGCGGGATGATCCTGTTCTCCGGGTTTATTTCTCCTGCCTCGATGGGAAACATTTCCTTTAAGATTTTCTAGATGGGAAAAAAAGTCAGGAATGTGAAGGACGCTCCCTTTCTTCCTCCCTCACTGAAAGACACAGCCAAGCCCACTTCCGGGCACCTTGCTTCCTCCTCCCACCCGCACCCCGTCACCAAAGCAGCCTCTTCGCTCTGCTCCCCAAATCTCTCCCAGCCAGAGCGGCTGCCACCCCACCTCCTTCCACCCCTCCCTAGTCTCAGTCCCACAGCACAGGAAGCTTCTTTAGAATCCCAGTTGGCTGGAGGAGAGGCTGAGGCAGGAATTGCATGCCTTGCCTGGGCAAGTGAGCAGTTTTACAACTCAGTACAAAGCCAGTTCAACCCCCACTGCTGGGGGGAAAAAGCGCTTCCCGCCAGGGAATTAGCTGAGTGGTGCCACTCACTGCCTGCTTCACAAGCATAAGGTCCCGAGTTTGATCCTCTGGTACAAAAAAACAAAAACAAAAAAACGCTTGGTCTTCACACCCCTCAAATTAGCTCCTATCTAAGAAGAGGAAAAAGCCGGAGACACGGGCAGGTGCCTAATGCCAGTGAATTGAACACCCCAAAATAGCTAACATGGTGAATTTTGTTATGAATACTTGACAGCAATGAAAATTTACGTTTGGTAAAACTATTCGTAAAGTTCAAGAAAGTGCCCTAGCTGTGGGCTGGGAGAGTGTGCGGGTCCGCCTCGGCCCCACACTCACGTGGAACTCGTAGATCTCGGTGAACTTCCGGTACACCATCTTCTCCGACAGGTCCTGCCACTTCACCAGGAACATGTACACCTGCGGGGTGGCCGGGTCAACGGGGTCAACTCTGTGGGCCTGGGGCACTGGGCTCTGGGAGATCTCCAGGGAGCCCGGGCTCCATGGATTCGTGAGCTGCCGCTCTTAGCTCTGGGACCTGGGCGGCTTCTGCCACGGTCTGGATGTGGCTTCTCCCTCAAGGGTGCACGGTTTGGAAACTTGGTTCCCAGGGTGGCCAGGTTAAGAGGTGGTGGGACCTTTAAGAGGAGGGGAACGGTGGGCGGTGCTGAGGCTGTGGGGCGTGGCCCGGGTGGATTAAGACCCGCCCCTAGGGCCCTCTGGTTCCTTCCCAGGCACAGCTGGACTGGCCCTGGCTTCCCAGCTGGCCCTGGGGTCGCTCCTTCTGCGCTTCGGCCATCAGAGGACACTGTCCTGAGGCCCACACCACAACCAGCACCATGCTGCTTGGGCTGAAACTGTGACCTCAAGAAATCTCTTTTAAGTTTCTTTTTACATTAGTATATATTTGCAATACATGATGATTACGTTATTCATCCTGGGGAGTTGGCACACATGCATACCGCAACTTCCCCCTCCACGTCCTACCCCACCTTCCTCTGATCCTGCCCAGCCCCACACATCCATCTCCCTATTTCCTGTAATCAGTCTTTTCTTTTGCCCGATGAATTGTTTATATTCTGGGGTCTCTCACACAAGAGAAACCATGCATTAATTCACTTCTAATTTATTTCACTCAGCACTATGTCCTCATGAGACACTGACCTGGAACTCACTGTGTAGCCCAGGCTGGTCTCAAACTCACAGCGATCCTCCTGCCTCAGCCTCCCGAGTGGTGGAATTACAGGCATGAGCCACCTTTGCTCCATCCACTCAGTCTGCTGACAGACACGCAGCCACTCCCAAGACTCAGCTGAGCACACCATGCTGCTCTGAACTTGGGTGTGCACGGGTCTCCGCACTAGCAGGGCTTCACTGTGTAGCCCAGGCTGGTCTCAAACTCACAGCGATCCTCCTGCCTCAGCCTCCCGAGTGGTGGAATTACAGGCATGAGCCACCTTTGCTCCATCCACTCAGTCTGCTGACAGACACGCAGCCACTCCCAAGACTCAGCTGAGCACACCATGCTGCTCTGAACTTGGGTGTGCACGGGTCTCCGCACTAGCAGGGCTTTAGCTCTGTGAGACACATGCTCCGGAGGCCCAGCTGGGTCAAACGGGATTTCTATTTTAGTTTTCTGAGCAGTCTCCATAACGGTGTCTGTAGTGGTTGTACTGGTCTATATTCCCTGCATCAAGAAGAAAGGCTTCTTTTTCTCGCCAGCATTCATAATTTTTTGAGTCCTTGAATGAGGCCCATTCCTGCCTGGAGCAGTGTGGAACCTCAGCGGCCTCTTCTCTTTGTAGCTGCCTATCCTCAGATACTTTGTTATAGCAATGCAAAAAACTCACTAGCACAGCTTCTTTCCAATCGACTCAGATCCCTCGTCATCACCTGGGGCCAGAAGTGGGACCTCACTCCTGGGTCCAGCGTGTGTCTTTCCGGGTGGGAAACAGAGGGCTCGGGTATAATAATAACTCAGATAGAGAATGTGTGATCCCATTATATAGGATTTCAAGAATAAACAGATCTCTATGGACGGGGAATGGATCAGTATCACCCCAGGATGGGGCAGGGACCTGGAGTGACTGCTTATAGGTACAGGGTTTATGTGGGGAGGAGATGTGAGGAAAATGTCCTAAAGCTGACTTTAGTGATGGATGCGAAGCTTTGAATAAACAGAACTCACTGAATTACACACTCTACCCAGGTGAGCTGTATGATGTCAAATTCTGTCTCACACAAGCCATAATTTAAAAACAAAAAAGCCAGGCATGGTGGCACATGCCTGTAATCCCAGCACTCGGGAGGCTGAGGCAGGAGGATCACTGAGTTCACTGGGCTACAAAGTGAGTTCCAGGTCGGTCTCAACTACATAGTGAGACCCTGTCTCGAAAAACCAAAAATAAATAGATAAATAAATAAGAATAAAACTAAACAAAACAAAACCTGCGTAAGGAAATACAAAAACAGCTAGGAGAGCTGGACAGGATGGCACACACCTATAACCCCATCTACTCAGGAGGCTGAGGCAGGAGGATTGCAAGTTTGTGATCAGCCCAGGGAATTTAGCAAGACTCTATTTCAATGAAAACAAAGAAACAGGGAGTTGAGAATGTAGCTCAGTGCAAAGGCCCTGGATTCAATGCCCAGTATTGAAGGAAAAAAAAAGTGTACTTCACACCTGCTGGGATACCTATATAAAACAAAACAGACGGGGCCAGGGATTTGGCTCAGTGGTTCTGCCACCTGCCTCACAAGTGCAAGAGCCCGAGTTCAATCCCCGGTACCAAAAAAAAGGAGCCCAGTGGGGTGTGGCGGCACAGCCCATAATCCTAGCACTCGGGAGGCTGAGGTATATGAGCAGATGACTGATGGAACAGAATGGAAAATCTAGAAGTAGATGCAAATGTCTAGGGGATTCAGCATATGATTGGTGTGGAATCTCAAGTAACAGGGGTGAAGGTAACTTTTAAATGCTAGTGGTTGGCTTTATTTTTTATTCCGGGAGTGTGGGGGGATTGAACCCAAGGCCTTCACATGGGATACATCGTGTGTCCTTTTTTCAGTCTTTTGTTTTGAGACAGGTCTTGCTCAATAGCTAAATTGCTCAGATTGGGTGCAAACTTTCGATCTTCCTGCCCCAGCCTCCCAGGAGGCTGCATTACAGGTGTGTGCCACTGCGTTTGAGTTGGCTGGCCTTTTTGGTAAAGGTATCATGGGATCTAGGGCCAGGGGTGCAGCTCAGGGACAGAGAGTTTGCCAAACATGCATGCCTGTGTGTGTGTGTGTGTGCACACGTGTGTGGGCACGCATGTGTGTGTGCACGCGTGGCTCCATCCCCAGGACCCACCTACCACCCACACGATCTGTTTTTCACCATAGAGCACGACAAACTCCAAACAGATGAGAGAACTAATGTGAAAACTGAAACCATCCAAGCGCTAGCGGGAAATTCTTTCAACGTTAAAAGTTGAGAGGAACAAAGGAAAGAGAAATGGGAGACGGAGACCTGGGCACAAACGTCCCTGCCAAGGGCCAAGCACAACCCTCATCGCCCTCCTCGGCGCGGAGACCCAGGGACAAGGTGGCCAGCATTTCCCCAGCCCCGGGCAGAAGAGGGGACACTTGGCCTGTGTCGGAGTCACCGGCTGGAGAGGCTGGCTAATGTGACAGGGCGGCCAGCGGGCAGGCCGAGGTCCTGGCCGGGGAGCCCTGTGCCCAGCGATCCTAGCCGTCCAGGTGGCCCCAGGGGCAGCGGAGCCCGTGCCGACCGCCCCGCCCCGCGCCCAGTACTCACGTAGTGCTGGCTGGGAATGAAGCGCTTCTCGAAGCCCAGGAGGGCGATGTGGCGGATGAAGGTGTCCCCCATGGCTGCTGGTGCGGCCTCTCGACTTCCCCCAGCACTCGGGCTGGGCCTTAAATGATCTGAAAAGAGGAAGTCGCTCCTGTGCCAGGCAGGGGACAGGGAAAGCCCAGAGGCCTCTGCTTCTTCTTTCAGTTTCTGAGGCCTCTGAGCTCCCGCGCTGTGGGTGTGAGTGGGGAGGACTGTCCTCGGGTCCGCTCCCACCTCTGCCCTTCGGCCCCTCTGGTCCTGCCCTTTGGCCTTTCTGTAGCTCTGTAACACACCCAACACCCAGCCCCAACCCCAGGGCCTTAGCAGGTGTGGAGCCCTTGTCGGATCTTTTTCTTGCAGGTTTCCTCCCAGTATCGCCTCTATTGAATGACCTTCTTTGACAAAGCCGCATAAAACAGCAAACCTCACACCCACACCTGCTTCTCCCTGTGTTTTCTTCCCAGCACTTATTCTCACAGATTATTTCCAGTTTTGGCGGGGAGGGGGTCAGGAATCGAATTCAGGACCTTGCACTTGGCAGGCAGGCGAGGCACTGCTTTCGCGCTTGAACCCCGTCCTGAGGGCGGGCGGGGCCGTGGAGGAGGAGGGGCCCTGACCGTGCAGGCTCCTGCGGCTCCACGCGG